GCTACAATAAATTACAATTTTAGTAGCAATGTAGTTTTCACTAATAATTAGAATATTTCTTTATTACTTGTTAAAACTTTTGAAATATAATCAATAATCATAATATTAATAAATAAAATAATATATTACAAATAATTGTAGTTTGTTATAATGTTTTCTTTTATACGACCTGTAGTAGATGATAAATACATACGTGAATTATCTCCTCAATTACCATTAGGATGAATTAATTACTCCATCTAAAACGGTTGCCAACCCCAGAATATTTGTCTTGTTAAAGCTATATATTTATACATACGTATAATGAATTGAACTAAATTAATATTTATTATAGAATCTTAAACAGCCAAAATATTATTTCCTTCGTGTGACCCGATTCTATTAATAAGTATACAACATTGTGATCAGCTGGATCTCGATAAATTCCAAATCCAACCACATATTCACCATGATAATTTTTATAACTAAGTGGCAATACAGCTTGCAGCCAAATATATTATTATAAGAGAAAAAGCGAGGAAGGGGAAAGGTGGGATGAGAAATTATATTTTGGTTGAAAAACAAAAAATAATCCAAGATCAATGACAATGATAATAAACTGCGAATGAAAGGAATGTGAAGACTAATATAATTGAATGTTTCTTAGTAAATTCCCACCAACAAGTTTTCACACGCTTTGTGATTTTCTTTCCCTAATAAAATACAATGTAAGTTTACCACAAATTGTTGCAGTTGTGGTTACTTTAATGTAAAAGCGAAGCGTAGTCCTATATAATACATTTATGATTTTTAGTTTACTTATCAACAGCTGTAGTTTATATTTAATAAAGTGACTTGACATTCTTTCCATCAGCTAAATTATATATAACATTTAATTTTATTCATTGGAATTTAATCAAAAAAAAAAGAGAAAATAATTTTAATCAACAATAGTTTTACGCAAGTTTGTTTATTCTTATTCATTTTTAATCCAAGTTATAAAAATTCCGGATCTAAATTCATCAATTAATATTTGCACCTCTTGGAGTTGTTTTCTTTTCATTCTCGTGGCGATGATGTGGAATATGTAAATGGTTTAATAATTTATGTCCAAATGTTTTCTTCTTAGAATTATTGTCGCGCTTGTCAACTTTATACGCGTTATCATTAGATTTATCTTTATTAGGATCTCGAGAATGTGGGAAATGATGTTTTAAAGAATGTAAAATTTTATGAATCAGATCTTTTTACCTATTCGTCGCTTGTTCTTTTTTATCATCATCATTATCATTATTGAATTCTTCTTCTTCGATGACAACAATAATATCATCAAAATCGTTGAAATTCATAATGATTTTTATTGTTTCGACCGTTAAAAATTTAAAATGATGGGCAAGAATGAAATAGTGATATCACTATGACCATTATGATGACGTAATCGGTAAGAAACATGCAAACCATTCTTTTAGATCATAATTCATAAATATGATTATAAAGCATATAATTAGCGTGCTCATTTACATATTCGCATATTTATTGTTTTATTAATTATCTGGCCTTCTTTGTATAAATCCTATATCAAGGAACAATGTCTGTCTGGCAATATTATGATTATAATTAAAAAATAAGTAACTGACGTTGCCCTTGTGGAAGTTGAAAGGTGTACTATGCAGTTGCCCATGGAGAAATGCTTTCTTCTGCTAATAAAATTATATAGAATTACGTTAGGTTCCTAATTGGGATCCATTCTAAATAAAATAATCTACTTACGTTATTCTGTTTTCGAATGAATAAAAAAAATAAGCGTAATTCATCATTCAATCTTTAAAACACATCTTTGGCGCATCTCATTGCCTTTTTGTGTTCGGATTACGGACTAGCGGTACAAAAACTAGCGGCTGATTGCACGAAATTGTTTTGCAAATAGAATAAAGAATGGAACTATGGTATACTTGCCGCCCAATCCCAAATCCAAACCTCTGAAATATTACGAAACTAGCACAATTTTAGTAATTTATACAAGAATGTGAATTTAGGATTTTGAGTTTGGGCATTCCACAGACTTTATGAACAGAATCTTCGAAAAATTTTATACTTCCAAGGAAAAGCTGTGCAAGTGAGATTGGTTCGAATATTGACAAATGATTATTTTCTAATCATTAGGAGTATCTTTACCATTGTAAAAATCATTGGTGCAAACAGTACAACAATGAGTCTCGGTTTATTATTATCGGATGTTTTTTTCCAGGAAATTTATCCGCCAATATTAAACCGAGAGATCCGCAAAAGCGAATCTCGTGATATAAATTAAAATACAAAAAAAATTTATTTAATAATAATAAACATAAAATAAATATATATGTATATAAAAAAAATAAACAAAAAAAAAAATATAACGATAATATTAATATCATTGTTGACTCATTAATTCGTCAATTCGACATTGTTTTGCTTCTTTGGTACTTCTATCACCGATAAGAAATTTCGTTTATTCTGTTTTATTCGTATATATCATTTAGGGATATAAAACTAGACTAGCCAAAAAAGGCAAGTATCAATATCGAGAGAAGTTTTATTATTATTATTATTATATTAACAGCATGGAATCATCCATTAATATTTGCCCTGGAAATGCACGGAATTTTCGGAAAATGACCTGAAAATTGCATTCCGTGCATTTTCCACGGAAAATGCACGGAAAAATGTACGGGATAGGAATGTATTTTCAGGATAAATATGTACCGAAAAACGCTCTTTCATGTATAATTCCGTACATATTAATATTCCATGCAAAATACACGGAAAAACCATACATTTTCTGAGGAGATTTTTTATAGGGCACCAATCTTTCTATTTATAAATATGCTTTCATTAGTTCTCTTATTAGATCATCAAGCTTGCCGGAGACATTCTTTATTATCAAACCATATAGATGGAACCTAAATTTAATTGATCGACAAACGCGTGTTTTTATTAGTATTAGTGTTGTGCAATGAAGCCCCTTTTTTTGGGACGCGAATCAATTTTTTTTTAGCAAGACGAGTGGACTAGGCAGGCATTCATCAGTAAACATACTACAAGTATTGTTATTTGGCACGGTTAGTTCTAAAGAGAAAGAGTTGTTTTTTTTTTATAAATCTTATTGAAATCGGGGATTTGTCACGTCTTCTAGGCGATTATTACAAGGCTCTCTATGTCATAACGAATGATTGGTATTATCTTGCCTTTTGTAACCGTTATTAACATTAAGTTATAGTATTAGGCAACATGAATGTTAAAGATGGAAAGAAAACATTTCGATATGCAACATTTGATTATCAGAAACTTACAGGTGTTGAAGTATACTACTCCAATAAAACACTACTACTACAGTCATTCCCATACTTTCCTCATGTACATATGGCTAATTTTGATCACATTTCCCTCGATGACACAATGACGCAACCTTGATAAATTCCAGGGGGGACGCAAGGTCTGGAATTTATCAAAGGTTGCGTCATTATTAATGAGACTTGCATGGATCCTGATCTTCCCTCACAACACCTAGACTGGCATTATTTAGAGAAGATCTCAGATTTTGTTTGGTACATTCCATTTGGATTAATCATTTTTCGAAATTCTCTGATACTTTTCACTTGATTAACTCTATTTATTCTTTAAAGAGGGCAGGTAACCTCTACCTTAGATCCAAGCTTTTATTTATTCCACCAACAAAACAGTAACTCAGCAGCCTGCTGGGCACCAGGACTAAATACACAAGACTATATGCAATAGTCAAGCCTGGTCTGAGGGAAGATTTTGCCAACTTTTCCAACAGAAGATGAAAAGGATTCCAGAGTTATGAGGCGTGTTAAAAGCACCCAAACTCACGTTTGTAATAGGAAAATTTTCAAATCTGATGCCTGTGTTCAGGTAACTCTATCTCTACATCACTTCTCAATCACCTCCAAAAATGATTATCAACCACCCAACCAAATTCATTACTAACCAAGCCACATCATCTGATTCACCACCATCAAAAATGCCAAGTCACAATATGCCTTGAACATATTAGATGTTGTCCAATGCCAGCCCTCCTATGATAGATTTTATTCATGGTTTTTAAGGAATTATATAACTGGGAAGGCAAAGTAATTTTTGGAAAATTTTTGGGGTAGAATTATTTATTTTGTTCAAAACGAGTTCCTTAAAAGTTTCATCTTGGTATTATCATTACTTGGGTGACATTAACCCTTCGTAAAAAGAAACAGACTCAAATAATAATCATCATGTAGTAATAGACATAATACAATAGTGGGAACAAAGTTATAGGAAAGGATTAAATAATAACGAAAAAGATAGGTAGGTAATGTTTTATTTGTCTTGATCCAATCACGAGAAAAATACAAGATAATTATAATAATTTTAATATATACTAAAAAATAAAAATAACAGATGAGACATTATAAGGTTATCAGTATCATGTTAAACAATTTTTGATCCCTGGAACCTTGGTAATACAAATGCTCACTTTGTTGAAACACACCTCATATAAAATTTTATAGGACTTCATCAATTAAAAATATAGAAATCCGATTATCTTTGAAAAAAAACCTTGACGTGAAAGTTTTTTGACAATTGCACCAAAGACTACATACATAATAACGTGTTGAAAATTTTTAGATATGATAGTTTGTTTCCTTTGATATGACTTTTATTGCGTTAATAGAGATTTTGAACTAAATTTTATATGCATAATCTACAGAGCCTATGCTACAAACTGATATAAATTATATGTGCGCTTGCTATATATGTTTTTGTGTAATTAATACATTTGGGGTGTCCTATACCTTTGTTCATGCATCGTATATATAAATAAATAAATATATATACATTATTATATACAGAACAAAAATAAATAAATAAAACAAATTAATTAATTAATAATAATAAATAAATTCTATATATTAATTATATTTGAAAAAAAAACTAAAAATTATATAATCGAGAAAACAATTTTAATAATATTATTTATCATATTGTCATGAAGATTCAGAATTTGTTGAACTTTTTCCAGGTATTATGATTTTAAGTTTATCTTCAGTTGGATTGTAATTGATTCCATTTTGCTCAAGTGTTTTCTGAATTTTTTCAAGAACAATTTGATTTTGTTGAGATATTTTCATCAAAAGTTTCACTTGTTGTAATAGTATATCTTGATTATTTACTATCTCATTATTCATTGAGGAGGATCCACGATTTACATGGGATGCAAAGGATTGCGTACTTTCAAAGCTTTCTCTCATTTCAGTCCCTATATATGTTGGGAGAAGAGATGAAGAGATGAAAAGATGAAAAGATGAAAAGATGAAAAGATGTAATGAAGAAACGAAAGAAAGATATATGATATGATATCAAATAAAGAAAATATCAAGAGGAAGAGATGATATGGAATGTATAGTAATAATATAATAATGTTATTATAATAATTATACTAGAATAATAATATTATCACCCTTCTCGTTGTTGTTATTATTATTATTATTTACCAATTGGATATCTTTGATCTTCATTATCATCTTCGCTATTAGTATCGGGATTGTTGGAATTTTCCTTTAAAAAAAATTTTTTTATATTTTAATGAAAACAAATATTTATATTATTATTAATTACAACAGTAAGACATACTCTCGCGTTAGCTGTTGATCTACGATATTGTCTCATTGCCTCCCAAACTATTGTAAAATGTCTTCCAACAATAATTGATGGTAAAGCAATGAGCTAATACATATATATATATAAACATACAAAAATATTAGTATTATAATAATAATAATATTATTATTATTATAAGCATCTACCAATAATAATTACCAGTATACCACACATCATAGCAGGAAATGCTATTAATTTTCCAACAAATGTTGTAGGAACCATATCACCGTATCCCGTGGTAGTAATAGTAACCATTACAAACCAAAAGGCTGAAGGAATACTATCAAACGAACTGTAGAGGTAGTATAAATATGAATATTTATACATATATATATTTATATCGAAATTTAGAATAGTATTGATTCAACCTTGGATAACCTTTACTATCAACAAATACTTGTTTATCTTGATCCCATGTTCCTTTTTTATTTTTTATTTTTAATTATTAGAAAAAAAATTTTAATTGATATCCAACAAATAACAACAACAATAATAAGTTCATTTTTTTCAAAAAATAAAGTAAAAAAATAATTTACCTCTTTCAGCAAAATATATCAAAGTTGAAAATAACACTATACTTGTAATCATAAAGAAAAACAGTGCTCCTAAAGCATCCATGCTTCTTTTAACTGCTACTATCATAACCTCAATTGTCATAATTATGGTTGAAGAATATTTGAATGCTTTAAATACACGTAGAAGACGAAATAATCGAAGGATGGTAAATCGAAAATCATACGTCTATACACGTCAAGCATTAAACAGATTTTAATTATATTTATTCATAAATACATGATGACATTATTATAATAACTCCAATGAAAGGAAATCTTACCGTGTCATGATGGAATCCCAATTCGATATAATATGGAATTATTGCAATGAAATCGATAATAGCAAGGGGAGCTAATTCAACCCAGAAAATCGGAGATTTTCGAATTGTTGATAATTGATGAAAACAAATCAATCTGAAAGACACCAAGAACACATTTGCCCAAGATCTCATAAAAAAGAAAAAATTCAAGAATATATATATATATATAATATACATATAAATAAATTATTTACCCTTTATGAATTTCCATAATTGTTTGATTGAATCTGAATGTGCTAGAAGTCTTAGAGCGTATTCTATTGTAAACACTGCTACTATTGTAGTCTCGAAATTAAACCTAAATTGATGATTAATTAGTTATTGAATTGAATGTTAAATAAATTTACATAATCTTTTACATACCATACTGAGCTGGCAGTAGATCTATAAGTTGGTATTGTCTCAATGGTTGTCAATACAGCACTCAAAACAATTGAAAAGGATACAAATACATGAACCATAAATGCTGCATTACTTGAAGACGGATCTTCTAATAATAAAAATAGCTCTCTTTTCCAATCTGTTCGCATCGAATTAGCTTCAGTATTATTAGCAGAACTTCTATCAAACGATTCGTTTACGCTTCTTAATTCTTCAGGTATCCCTGTTAATGCCCATTCATCTTCGTTTAAACCAAGCCCAGTGAAGGTATTTCTATGTGATGAAGGGGTGGTAGAGGAAGTAGGGGAAATAGGTGAGAAGTGAACATGAGGTTGTGCAGTAGTCGACAATCTACTTTGCGAAATTGGCTGCTCTGTTGATGATGATGATATCTCTTCTAAAGGTATCGTTTGTTGCTGATTAGAAAAAGATACATCGCTTTCGGTTGAAAGTTTTGTAAATTGACGATGTTTCGTCATTTTTTTTTTTTTTTTTGTCTTTCTTTTTGGGAAATGAAGTTTTATTTTAATGTTTACAATTAATTATCATGTGTAATTTCCGAATTCTACTAAATTAACGACAATAATAGTAATAATAGTGTGTCCATTCAAGCAATCTTCACTTTAGAATAATTTTTTTTGTTTTTTTTTTATGATTCAAATCACCATAGTGTTATGGATGTATTTCCAGATGAGAAACGTTGGTTATTATGTACGTTTCAACATTGTTAGCATGAATTTTCAAAGTATAAATCAATCCGTAAGTTTGTGGAAAAGAACTTAAAAAATTTAAATATGATCGTATAGTTTATTCATACGAGTGGGAAGATTGTCATAAATATTTATTTATTATATATAGTGTAAGAATCATACATAATTATCATTAATTTATTTATTTCTTAAACAAATGAGGCAAAATTACTTTTGTAATTAAAATTATTAATATTGTTTTTGAATATTTGTAAAATAGTCACCAAACAAAGAAAATTAAATAATGATAATGACAAATTAATTAATAATGAAATAACAAAACTAGGATATCTTACTGGCTTGATTCTGTCTACAATTATGAAAATTCAGGTAGAATGATTTCCTGCATGATTGAAGGATATCTTTATTATTTGAGAAATATGATCTAGATTGACATTTAAAAAGTTTTCACAATTAATAAATAGCTGAAATCAATAATTATTATAATTATTGATTTTTCTTCTCAATAACTTCATCTTGAACTATTTGACCACCTTGATGGAACAAAAGGTTTTATTCTAAACGAATTTCCAGATTGATTTTCAATTACCAAATTTTCATCATTTATCTTATCCAATATTACCTACTGAGTATCCTTTTTTATTATTATATGAGATGAAGGAAGAACTGGTGATGGTGTATTTGCGATTAACAACTAAGGTTGCTGATTTATTTTCATTATATATATGTATACACACACACATACAACAACCTAAAACAAATGTTTTAATAAAGTAGTTTCAAAGAAAGAAATTACCTTTCATCTCCACAACAGTTGTATTGGAATAATTTTTTTTCTTGTTGCCCCAGTATGATATATACGAAATGTAAGTCCTTGACCATATATAACAGCCTTTATGAAAATCAACTAAAGGATTGCATTAACTTATTCACATAATTAAAAATAATATATTCATTTTAATTTACAAAACAATAATTGCTCCCAATATAATCAAAATTAGTTTTTCTGATAGTATATTCTGTTTGAAGATAGGGATGGTAATATTAGTACGAAATTTATTAAATTTTCTTTTTATTATTAACTTTTATATATGATTAAATCTTACATTTGTATTAGCTGGTTGCACCAATCTTAATCCCATATCTGGACATCTATCATCTCTACATCCAATTTCACTTGTAATTTTGCTGTAGAGGGTTTAGAAATTTAATGCAGCCACCATAAATAATTTGTATTTTTACCTCATATATTCATACAATCGTTGATATTAGAAGATATGAAGGATGATACATGAGAGTCATTAAAAAAGTTGGCTGATCCGATGTCTTTGGGATAGGTAAGTATCTAAGAATCTTTGATTGGTCTCTGAAATTGTTATATAAAACAATCCAAAGAAATATGCATAAGACCATGACTTCCATTTGGTAATAATGTCATATTGTTTGTGATAAAACCCTTTAGAAATTTTATAACATCTTTTCCATAAATCAATTTTGAGCAACCCTGTTATATTATTAGAGGATCCCCAAAACTAGCAGTTTGCTTAACTAGTACTAGTGCGTGTAACATTTATTTGAATACCACCAATAGCTGATAATTGCTGCAACCAAGTGAACTAACTCTTTCTAATTTTAAATAATAGTAGACGTTACACTTTATCTTATTAGAAAAATTTAACTAGCTGATTTGTAAAAAAAATTACCACTTGGCGAAGAGAGCTTTGGCCCATTTGTTTCAGCTGCAGCATACATGATCAATTTCAACATCCGCAATTAGAATCAAAGTGAAGATTTTCATCCGTTATATAAACCTCCCAAGCATGTCATTATTCAAGAAGTAAAAGTGATGCACCTCGACAACGACAACCCGCAATACCACAAAAGTGATTATGCAAAAAGAAACTACTTACTTTGATATCAATGGAACTCATGCATCAAGGCAACAATTTCTTCTGCAGAATGCCTTCGCTTTTACCGTGATCAAAACCCAAGGATTGACATTGCCTCATGTAACTGTCAACATCGATGAAAATATGTTTGCACCTGGTAAAGTATATGTAGCTATGAGCAGGGCACCTTGGATTTCCGACTTTTCTTGTATAAAAATCGATCAATCTATGACTTGAGAATACACAAGATTGAAAGGCGCGAACCAGACAAATTAAAAGTAGCGAAAACAATGATTAATGTTTAATTAACATATACGAACGAGAATCTCGGATTTAAAAAAAATTTTTTTTTATTAATTGATTGCAAAAACAAACCTTTTAATTTGTGAATTTTTTATTTAATCCATATGACACGTGAAGTCTTATCCGAAAATTAGCACATGTGAAAGCGCCATTTATATTTATTTTTATAACAGTCAGTATATTGAATTTTTTAATTTAATGTTGATATGACTCGTGAAGTAACATTAATCTGATCTGAAATGTTAATCCTATCCGAGAATTAGCATTGTGAAGACTCCTCCACCTTAATACAATAATTTCACAAAAAATTTCACTGCTAAAATAATTACATTTTATATAAATACAAATTGAAAATTTTCTCTGACAGGCAGGCAGGCAGGCAGGCAGGCAGTCAGGCAGTCTTCAAGTCTTCAAGTTTTCAAAGATTTTTTTAAATCTAACACGTTAACAAAAATAAAATTTTTTTGTTTTTTTATTTTATTTTTGGACAACCACATTGCCATCCGCACCGCAACCACCATCAACAATGCCAATACAGCCACTACCAGCAGCACTGGATGAGTAGCGGCAGGAAACTTTATTCTACCTCGAAGTACCAGGCCAGGAAGCGTTGGCTGTCTGAACCAACACGAAGCTTCATTCGCTAAACGGGTCATTAGGGGGGTTGTTTTAAAGATGTCCCAAATTATCGAGTTCGACTGCAGGGGCGCGGCCTGATTATAGTTTAGATCCTAAATAGCAAATGATATTTAAATATATTAAAATCGACATGCAAAAGTCGGCTTTAATAAAATTGATTTATTCCATCGTTATACATTGTCCTTCCTTTCTTTTCCCCTTCTCGTTTTCTTTCTAGTTTTGTTACGAATTTTCTTTGACAACCATCTTCCAACTCTATATATTGGTTCACACAAACTTAATATTATATTATTAAGAGCACGTAATTATGGTGCTGTTTCAAAGAAATTACTTTTTGGAGTTAATGGATTAACTTTATTATTATTATTATTATTATTATGGACCCGTTAAGAATCCGTTAGGAATTTTTTTCATCCGGATTGGTAACGACGTTAAAATGGCAAATAATATTAATAAAATGATATTAAAAACATTTATTTATTGGAATTTAAAATAATAAAACATTTATTTATTTAATTTCTATTTTTTAATGAATTGTTTCGTGAGTCATTTCTTTTTAAGCGCACCCGTATTTATTAAAATCAACGCGATTTGAATTCATACAACAACTATATAGGATGGTTAGAATCACCAATAAAGTATTTATTATAATCATGTTTGTGAAGGCCAAATAGAGCCATAATAAAATTTTATTTATATGAAATATATTAATGATAATGTTTTATATACAGAGTGTTATTAAAACTATTAACCAAACCTAATTAACACTAATTAGCACTTAACAAGAAAATCACATGATAGATTGGGTTGAAAAAAAATAAAATTAAATAGCAAATTGCTGATCGTTATACGAATAAGATGGAGGATATTGAGGGGCAGGTGGCCGATTGACCATCCCTATGCTCATATTTCTGTTACTGTTGTTGGAACAATCGATGCCACTTCCTTCAGTTGCGACTTGTCCTCCAATGTAAAATGCAGGAATTGATAAGAATGAGAATACGAGAGATATAATCACAAGAGCAAATCCAATGACGCCAAATTTTGTAGTTCCACTACTAGGTGACATATTATAATCATAATCGATTTTTAAATAAAGGTCAATTTGTCCTCCCATTGCTAACAAAATGACAAAAGAACTGAATAATACGAAGGCCCTTGTCACTCCTTTATGCTTAATATGACCATGACGAGCATAAATGCCAATGCAAAACAATATGAACGATGTTATTACGCCTAAAATAAATTCAAACAATAAACAATAATTAATTTATATGTATAATATTAATATTTTTTTATTGGTATGATGAATAAGTAAGCAGCACATTACCAATAGCATGCATAGACAACAAAAATTTTGTGCTTCCATTTGAAATGTAAAAATCATCATCAAGACCACTCTTCGTGCATTTTTTGGTGTCGGATTGTAGACAAGCACCATATATTCCAAATATAATTTTTTCGCGTATTAGACCGGCGACACTTCCTTCAGCAGTCACGACATAAATTTGCTTGATAATTGGCGTCCCCAAGTTCACTAAAAGAAGAGACATGGATGAGACAAAAGACAAAGCAGCTGCAGTAATATTTGCATATTTAGCGGGAACCATCCCTAAAGAATAGAGTAAAGGAATATGAAGAATGATAAAAATTATTGATGATATTTTAATGAAAAAATAGTAATTATTTTTCAAAAACCAAGTGGAAAATTTATTTTTATTTCCTGCCGTAATTTTCTCATTTAAAAGTGTTATAGTTATGCAAGCAACTCAATTTGATATCAAAAAGAAAAATTTTCAAGACACACCAAAATTGTTCGTCATGCTCATTAGAAAATAGATATTATTCGATTGTTATTATTATTATGTACTAGTATTAGTATTAGTTGATTGTTTTTAGTCGATTATTTTTAATCGATATTTTTCAGAAGTCATGCCATGTTGTGTAACTGTATAATTTTAAAAATAACTCGTGTATATTAATATGTTGACCAGTTTTTCAATTTAATTTAATTTTAAATTTTTTATTAATTAATATTAATTAAACATAGGAATAAAAAATTTAATTTCGTGCGCTTTTTCACTTAAAAAGGAAGTTTATTATTATGTATATTTTTAGACTTTTGTTCAAAAAAAAAGATTTTTCAAAAAAAAAAAAAAAAAGGAAATTCGAAAATGGTTGCGTTTTGTTCAACAATAACACTGATGTTAAGGCCAAAAATTTTTTAAACGAACAAAAAGAAAACTTGAATCACTGTGGCTTTATTTTATTATGATAACGATAAATTTGTTTAGTTTGATTTACATTTTCGACCAATTTATTTAATCCCAAAACGGCTAATTGAATTTAAATCAATCTATTTATAAATATTTTTCGTCATATCTATCAAGTTTTTTTTTAGAATTTTTAAAAAAAAACCCAGCCAAATCATGTCTTTCATTTGTTTATCCATATGCTTTATTAAAACTATCTCTTCTACCGAAAACGTGATAAGTGGATGCGCTTTGTATAAATCAAGCCAATCACATTCAGTACAAGGAGGTTTTAACGATTATAACGTGGTCGAGTTTGGGAAAGCACGTTGGTTTATTTTGTAGGTCAATATGTGTACAAGAATAACATCGTTCATATTGTTTTGCATTGGCATTTATGCTCGTCATGGTCATATTAAGCATAAAGGAGTGACAAGGG